TGTGTGTGTCTGCATGGGTGTGTGTTTCTCTGTGTGTGTGTGTTTTTGCAGGTGTGTGTGTGTGTGTGTTTCTGCAGGTATCTGGTGTTTTATTGTCCTCTGGATGCCGTGTACTCGCTGGCGTCCGTGTTGCCCGTGCGTCTGGTCTTGACGGCGATGAAGGAAGTGACCCGTACCTGGAAGGTTCTGGGCGGAGTCACACAAGCAGGAAGGAAGTACAAAGACGGTCTGTTTGTGATGATCGCGGTGGGCTGGGCTAAAGGTACACTGACGCTAATTACACTCATCCATCCACGTTGGCTGTTTCCATTCAGATATCGAGCGGGATGTGACAGTATTCTTGGCTTGACATTTTAATGTTTAAAAGCTCAAGGTTATTTTTCAGAATTTAATCACACTCATTATTAAAACCCATGATGCATTTCACCCCGCTGTCCTTCAATTACACAGAGAAAAGGTTTGAAATATCAAGAGGTCGAGGTGACTGTAATTACGAGCGCTGCTAAAATGATAAACGTTTAAGAGCCAAAACACATCAGCGAGCGACTCGTGCATCATGCAGAAAGAGTTATTATCGATAGCGGATGCTATCTCTGATCTCCAGACGTGATTGTGTGTCTGCAGGAGCCGGTGGAGGACTCTTGAGCAACTTTGAGCAGCTGGTTCGAGGCGTCTGGAAACCAGAAACCAACGAACTCCTGAAGATGTCATAGTAAGAGTCTTAAATCATGTGCATCCTTCCTCAACAAGCTCCTGAAGGTCCGGAATTATGACACAAGATGATTTCTAAAGTCATGAAACACATCCAGATCATATTTCACCTCATAAAGAAAGAAAAAAGATTCAAATTAAATTCTGCATTAACAAAGTGAAGCCTGTTTGTAGGACCGTTAATATTTATAGCATTGTGACCAGGGTTATTATCATTAACTGAAAAACTAGAACCGTAAAAGAAATGTTGTTACTTGTTACATTACCTGAAATAAGATAAACACTAACTGAAATAAAGTGAAAAATTAAGAAATTTAAACTTATTTTATTTCAGTTAGTTTGCAAGGAAACATTTCTCGTTTTCGTTTAGTTTAACTAAAACTGAAATGAAAATTAATTAAAACATATATACGTAGACATGTATAAAAAAACAGGAGCTAATAAAAATGACAAAAGCGCAACAAAATTACTAAAACTTTTAACTAAACTTTTGTCTCCACAACATTTCTTATTTCTAGTTTCAGTTGACTAAAATAGCAAAAAAACTGAAATAAAAATGTATTAAAAATATAAATAATAAAAAAAAAAAAATTTGTAATAAAACAAATGCAAACGGAAACCTGAAGTTTAATTTCTGCCTTGATTTATTTTTATTATATAATTCTCTTTTTTTATTTACATTTTTTCTAGTGCCGTCAAACGATTAATCGCGATTAATCACATCCAAACTTAAAGTTTGTGTTTACATAATATATGTGTGTGTATATACTATATAAATACACACACATGCATGTATATATTTAAGATTTTTTTTTTGTTTTTATACAAATATTATTATTTATATATAAAATAAATTATATATGAATATCTCTATATATACATGTAAATATATACATGCATGTGCGTGTATTTATATATAGATCACATACAGTATATTATGTAAACACAAACTTTTGTTTTGGATGTGATTAATCGCGATTAATCGTTTAACAGCACTATTGTTTACCTTTTTTTCAGTTTTAGTTTCACTTAATTAAACTCGCAAAATTGACAGCATTTTAAAGTTGTAGAAATGTTGTCGTGCTTTTTAATCTAAAATGAAAATGAATCCCTCAGACAGCAGCGTTCGTTCGCTTATGAATGTCTGAGCATCATTTCATCATAACTCTGCAGGATCTTTTCTCTTCTCTACTTTCGCTTTTCTTCACCAGATATTTTGAGTGATTTCAGAATCTAAATGCCTTTTAGTTATTCACTGTGTAAATTAACTCATAAATCAGATGAAAGCATCGTGCACGAGAGGGTTTTTGGTGTTTGTCTGCAGAAGCTGAGTCTCTTTCTCTCAGAATAATAGTGTTTGCTCCCAGAATGCCGCAGGTAGAATAATTGGCTTCTGTATTGATTTCCTCTCGTCTTGGAGACACTTGTTGTCATGGTTATTGTTTGAGTGGCATTTGAGAGGGTTCTTGTGGAGGAACGCAGGAGTCAGTCGCCATGGAGACGAGCCTCTGATTGACAGCCGTATCTCATGTACAGTAGGACAGAGCCATTTCACTGTATTTATGCGCAGAACTGTTCATCTGACGGGAAAATAAAACACTAATCGTTTGTGCAGATCGATGTAATCGATGCATCTTGTGAAAAGTGCTATAAAAGTTCATTTGACTTCATCTTATTTTGATCAGAAAATATATGATTAATAAAGTCAAACGTTTTACATTGATTTTACCGTAATTCAGCAGATTCTTTAAATATAAAAAACGTGCTTACAGACTGTGAGTCAGAACAGCCGGCATTGTAGTCTACTCTCCCAGGATCAGGAAACAGTCCTCCATAAAATGTGCTGCACACATCTGAATATTTGGGTTGAAGTGTTCTGGAACAGTGTTGTAAATACAACTTAACCACTGATTTCTAGTCGTGTCCTCTTTTGGAAGACCAAACAAAGTAGTTTCGCTTTCACAACGAACACAGCGCCTTCACGACATGGCGGCGGCAGCAACAACAATATCTTTATGCACCAAGAGCTTGTAACACTCCAAAGAGAAAGGAAAAATTGAAATCGCATCATATGACCCCTTCAACACGTTTCTATAGAATGTGCATCACAGCCGTGTGTTAATTATCTTTTTCACGATGTAGAGTCAGAGCTGTTATATTTAACTGTCCTCGTTTAACCTTTGACCTTTGTGTGTCTGTGTCTGTGCGTGCGTGCGTGCGTGCGTGCGTGCGTGCGTGCGTGCGTGCGTGCGTGCGTGCGTGCGTGCGTGCGTGCGTGCGTGCGTGCGTGCGTGCGTGCGTGCGTGCGTGCGTGCGTGCGTGCGTGCGTGCGTGCGTGCGTGCGTGCGTGCGTGCGTGCGTGCGTGTCTGTCTGTCTGTCTGTGTGCGTGCGTGCGTGCGTGCGTGCGTGCGTGCGTGCGTGTGTGTGTGCAGCCCGACCAAGGTGACGCTGCTGGGATCCGTTGTGTTCTCTCTCCATCAGTGCCGCTTTCTCCCGATTCAGACGCATCAGCTGATCTTCATCTACACGCTCTTCATCGTCACCAACAAGGTCTGTGTGTTTGTCTTTCTGCAGCATTCAGACTGAAACCAAACACTCCTTATCTGGGTTTATATGGAGATACATGAATATCTAGATCTATATTTGTCAAAATAGTACAAATAATAATGCATTTATTTATTTAGCATTTTAATTAATTTTTATAGTTGTTTTGCTTTAATCCTTAAAAAAAGTAAAAACAAAATACATTTAAACAGACATAAAGAGCAGTAATAAAATACAAAATAAAACATGCAAAATAGTCCATAAAACCTAAAATATAAATAAAATGGATTAATATTATATTAATAAATATTAGAAAATGATATCATATATTTTTATTGTATGTTGTATTTATACACACACACTGTAATATATCTACCGTATATATGCACTACCGTTCAAAAGTTTGGGATCAGTAAGACTTCAGTAAGAAGTCTCTTTAAAGAGCCTCTGCTCATCAAGGCTGCATTTATTTGATCAAAAATACAGAAAAAAACAGTAATTTTGCAAAATGTTATTACAATATAAAATAATGGTTTCTATTTTAATATCCTTTAAAATATAATTTATTTCTGTGATGCAAAGCTGAATTTCCATCATCATTACTCCAGTCTTCAGTGTCACATGATCTTCAGAAATCATTCTAATATGCTGATTTATTATTATTATTATCAATGTTGTGCTGACAAATATTATTTTTGGAAACTGTGATACTTTTTCAGGATTCTTTGATGAATAAAAAGTTAAAAAGAACAGCATTTATTCAAAATATAAATCTTTTCTAACAATATAAATCTTTGCTATCACTTCTTATCACCAGCTCTGATAATAAATCAGCATATTAGAGTGATTTCTGAAGATCATGTGACACTGAAGATGCTGAAAATACAGCTGCGCATCACAGAAATAAATTACAGTTTAATGTACATTAAAATAGAAAAATATAGTATATAATAAATATACTATAATATATTATTATAAATACAATTGTTTGTGTGTGTGTATAATAATAAATAATTATTAAAAATAAATTATATGCGAAAAGAAAAAAACCAAACACTTGTTATCTGGGTTATTCAGAAATACATGAATACCCAGAACTACATTTGTCAAGTGTGTGTGAGCGTGAGTGTGTGTGTGTGAGTGTGTGAGTGTGTGTGAGTGAGTGAGTGAGTGAGTGAGTGAGTGAGTGTGTGTGTGTGTGAGAGTGAGTGAGTGAGTGAGTGAGTGTGTGTGTGTGTGAGAGTGAGTGAGTGAGTGAGTGAGTGTGTGTGTGTGTGAGAGTGAGTGAGTGAGTGAGTGAGTGTGTGTGTGTGTGAGAGTGAGTGAGTGAGTGAGTGAGTGTGTGTGTGTGTGAGAGTGAGTGAGTGAGTGAGTGAGTGTGTGTGTGTGTGAGAGTGAGTGAGTGAGTGAGTGAGTGTGTGTGTGTGTGAGAGTGAGTGAGTGAGTGAGTGAGTGTGTGTGTGTGTGAGAGTGAGTGAGTGAGTGAGTGAGTGTGTGTGTGTGTGAGAGTGAGTGAGTGAGTGAGTGAGTGTGTGTGTGTGTGAGAGTGAGTGAGTGAGTGAGTGAGTGTGTGTGTGTGTGAGAGTGAGTGAGTGAGTGAGTGAGTGTGTGTGTGTGTGAGAGTGAGTGAGTGAGTGAGTGAGTGTGTGTGTGTGTGAGAGTGAGTGAGTGAGTGAGTGAGTGTGTGTGTGTGTGAGAGTGAGTGAGTGAGTGAGTGAGTGTGTGTGTGTGTGAGAGTGAGTGAGTGAGTGAGTGAGTGTGTGTGTGTGTGAGAGTGAGTGAGTGAGTGAGTGAGTGTGTGTGTGTGTGAGAGTGAGTGAGTGAGTGAGTGAGTGTGTGTGTGTGTGAGAGTGAGTGAGTGAGTGAGTGAGTGTGTGTGTGTGTGAGAGTGAGTGAGTGAGTGAGTGAGTGTGTGTGTGTGTGAGAGTGAGTGAGTGAGTGAGTGAGTGTGTGTGTGTGTGAGAGTGAGTGAGTGAGTGAGTGAGTGTGTGTGTGTGTGAGAGTGAGTGAGTGAGTGAGTGAGTGTGTGTGTGTGTGAGAGTGAGTGAGTGAGTGAGTGAGTGTGTGTGTGTGTGAGAGTGAGTGAGTGAGTGAGTGAGTGTGTGTGTGTGTGAGAGTGAGTGAGTGAGTGAGTGAGTGAATGTGTGTGTGTGTGAGAGTGAGTGTGTGTGTGTGTGTGTGTGAGTGTGTTTGTGTGTCCAAACAGCTGATTGCATCCGCTCATGACTCTGGCTGAAATCACACACTCATCATCATCGCTGACAAACACACCGTCACACACTGACTGACACAAGTAAACCAGGTTAACCAGCGGATAATACAGCAAAAAAACACACAATAATGCTGCAGAAAAAGTCAGAACAGTCCTGTATTACACTGACAGACATGTTTCTGTGTGTGTGTGTGTGTGTGTACATGGTATTTATCACGTTATGGGGACCAAATGTCCCCACAAGTATAGTAATACCAGTAAATTTTGACCTTGTGGGGACATTTTTTAGGTCCCCATGAGGAAACAAGCTTATAAATCATACAGAATGAGTTTTTTTGAGAAAGTAAAAATGCACAAAGTTTCCTGTAAGGGGTAGGTTTAGGGGTAGGGTTGGTGTAGGGCAATAGCACATACAGTTTGTACAGTATAAAAACCATTACGCCTATGGAATGTCCCCATAAAACATGGAAACACAACGTGTATGTGAGTGAGTGAGTGGGTGTGTGTGTGTGTGTGTGAGAGAGAGAGTGTGTGTGTGTGTGTGAGAGAGAGAGAGAGAGTGTGTGAGAGAGTGAAGTGATATTGAATGCCAGTTACAGCTCACCCTCTGTGTTCATTTACTGATAAATGAATATTAGCTGTGATTTCACAATTAAAAACAAGGCAAAGAGAGCGTTTGATTGATCGGCAGGTCGTGGTTTAATTGGACAGACGTCTGTTCGTGTTCGTTTGACTGAATTTAACGAACGACCTGCTAATGCTCATCAAAGTGAGTCTCTTTCGCCCTTCAGTATGAGCCGCGCCGCTTTACACTCTTACACGGTTCTCTCGCTTTTTGCATCATTTTCATGTAATTGCATCATTCTGCTTTAAAAAGAGTGAAGTTCTTGAGCGAGACTGACGGTAAATCTTGAGTTCTTCAGTCAGATCTCTCCGTTCGCTCACGCTCTCAGCCTTTGACCTTGCCGGCGTCACGCGTCGTCTCAAGACAAGCGTTTCTCTCCGTTAGCTTTCTGTTTCACTTATTAGTACAGCTGAGGATTTGAGCTTGTGTGTTCATCTTTGGCTCTTAAGTCTTAATTTACCCTTCCACAAATTAAAGATCTCAACTATTACATTCATAAAGTCATTGCACTAAATGTTGCATGCACTGCAAAAAAAAACAAAGAATAGCTTCCTCAGTATTTATATCTTGTTTTTTAGTACAAACATCTTTAAAAAAAGATATATTTACTTGAGAATTAAAATGAAGATATGAAGCCTTCTTTCCTGAGAAACTGAACAAAATGAAGTCAGTTTATGCTTAAAACAAGAACAAGTCAGTGGGGAATGAAAACTTGTTTCTCTTTGAATTAAGTTGATTTTTCTGAGCCCATTGGCATATTTTTGTCCTTTTTAAAATTATAAATCCATTTATCACAGACTTCTTATGTAATTTTTGCATCTTGATTTAAGAAGTTTTAGACATTTGCACTGAAAAACAAGACGAAAAACATCATTTTTGTGCGTTCTGTTCAGAATATACAGTAAAAGTTATTTCCATATTCAAGTTAAGCTATTTTTTTGTGCATAAAATTAATTAAAAAGTAATGGAGTGCTGGTGGAAGTTATATTTTCAAACTCATTTTCTGCTTTCTAGACATTTATATTTCAATGTATTGTGTTCCCTTGAATTTATTCCTCAAATTTATTCATTCCTTTAATTGATTTAAAAAGAGAAGTCTCACGTTTGTTTCAGACGCGGATGATGTTGTTGGGCTCGTCATCGTATCCGTTTTCAGCGGTGGAGACTCTGCTCTACAAGACTCTGTTTGTTCGACCTTTGACCTTTTCACCTCTGACCGACCCGACCCAGAGCTGCTGCACTTCCCCGAACCACAACAAACCCAACGCACAAGACCAGAAACCCAGCGACACCAACGACCCGGACCAAACCAGCCCCAAAGATGCAGAAACCACCAAAAAGACCGACTGAGTCCTGATGGAGAACTGTAGCGTTTCCGGCTGATGATGTTTTTAAATGCACAGATGCTCTTTTTATCTGAATATCTTGATTCGTACATATTTGCTATTCTGAGCTGATTCACAGAAGATTCTGTTCTTTTCTATCCTGTGATGGTGAGGATAATATATTTTAATATTATTTATAATGCATTTGTGAATGCAATCACAGAAAGTAGAATGCCGAAACCTGTTTTACTGTAAGATGTTTTGATGCTGAAATGATTGAATATAATTCACTCGCTCTGACTCGTCTGTCTTCAGTTTGTTGTCCGTGTGAAAAACAGATGTAGATGAGTTTGTTTCTTCATCAGATTCTCAGAAATGTAGCTTTGCATCAGTGTCTCAGCGACGGATGCTCTGCAGTGAATGGGTGCCGTCAGAATGAGAGTCCAAACAGCTGATAAAAACATCACAATAATCCAGTTCCTTTAAGCTCCGTATACACTGTGACCGACTATCAAAATATAATTTTGTCTGGTTCCTCAACACAATATTGTGTATTTTCTGGAAAACCAAACAGTCCCACCCTAAACTCATACCATTGGTTGAGCCAATATCAATCAAACACATTATAATTCAGCTTGGTCGCAAACTCGGTTTTCCCAAAGAATTGGACTACTTTTTAACCAGTGTTGCCAAGTCCCCTTTTTTAACACTGTTGTCGAGGGTTGTTTATCATGTCCGCGGGTTTAAGTGACCCCCATAACATGATATTTAGCCCCTAGGATGCGAATTTTACCAGGGGAACCCCGCCAATAATGTGTATTTTGCGTGTATTTTACTCCCCGTTTTTTTTTTTTTTGTAGCAAATGGGCGGGTTTTGTTTTGAAAACCTGGCAACCCTGTTTTTAACTCTGGCAGTGATTGGATTATTTTCCCACGCAAACGCAGGGAAAACTATGGAAGCCCGTTTCCGCCACTGAATAAAAAAATAAAGGTAATTGCAACGTTTTATCTCAAAATTCTGACTTTTTTTCTCGCAATTGTGTGATACAAACTCGCAATACTGACGACTTTTACAGAATTGCGAGTTTAAAACTCGACATTGTGACTTTTTTTTCTCTGAATTGCGAGTTTATATCTCAAGCAACAGAAAAATTGAGAAAAAAAAGTCAGAACTTCTACAAAAAAAAAAAAGTCAGAATTGTGAGATACAAACTAGCATTTGCGAGAAAAAAAAGTCAGAAATTGTGAGTTTTTATCAGGGAAAAAAAGTCAAAATTGTGAAATAAAAACCTCACAGGGGGGAAAAACACACACCATGTTTTTAGGAATAAAAATATAATATAAATCAGTGTGAATGATATATGAACAAACGTCTGAAATCTAATGTAAATCAATAAAATAAACACTTTTATTTTTTTTATTTGTGTATTTTGCGAGAAAAAAAGTCAGGACTCCTAGAAAAAAGTCAGAATTGTGAGATACAAACTCGCATTTGTGAGAGAAAAAAAATCAGAAATTGTGAGCTTTTATCACGCAATTCAGAAAAAAAAAGTCAGAATTGTGAGATCAAAAGTCGCAATAACCTTTTATTTGTTCAGTGGCGGAAACGGGCTTCCGTAGAAAACAACCCTGACTAGTGTTGCAGAAATTACATTCTTAACTATTAATCACTTAATTAATCAGCATGAAGGTGAGTCATTAGAGCGGTAAAGTGTGTTAACTGTAAACCATTTCTAGGCGAATGTTCGTGACGAGCAGAAATAAAAGACTCAGGCAAGGTTAGTACGTGATTCTGTCACACTAGTCTCCTGTTAACTTGAATTTAGTGTTTAAAACTGATTAATGAGTGCTGGAGATCGACCGCACGTGACCGATGCCGTTTAACTTGAAATAACAACACCGATTATTACAATTTTAAGGTGCCTATTGAATCGCTCATTATATCAAATGACGCATTTTGCAGAAATTGGATTGGTGTTTTATTGTTGCTGTATGATTTATGTAATGGAATATGACTATGGAATATGCATTCCAGGCAGCAGGAAGAGATTTTCATAATCATGCTTTAGGTTTGTTAATGAGCGATCAACAGAACATAAGCTCATTTACTGATGTGAAGGAGCAATCAACATCTCAATTATTCCCGCCTAATCTCACCAACGGTTTCCAAACGGCCCGAGGCGGGAATTCTCTCTGCCAAGAATGCAGTGCCAACAGCATTCTGACGGAAAGCGCGGGAAATTTCCTTCTGCTGTGCTTTGTGATGTCATCACGTACGCTAATAATAACACGCTGCTCAAACTGTCTCTGCTGAATCTGTTTGACATCGATTAGGCTGTTTTTAAACGCAAAGTTAGATTAAAAAGGCTAAATAACCATAATCATTTCTGAGATGATAACTGCTTAACAACTTATCATTGCACACTGTACAGTTTTACATCCTTTTTGAGGTTAATAGGGTTAAAACAAAATCACCATAAATGACCAGTTCAGTATGGAAGCTTATTTCCATCACGTGAAATAATTAAATAAATACAGGTAATTGGTCTTTTTTTTTGCAATTCTGAGTTCATAGAAAAGGCAGAATTGCGAACTCAGGATTGCAAATTATAAACTCACAATTCTTTAGAAGAAAAGTCAGAATTGTGAGACAAACTCACAATTGCAAGGAAAAAAGACACAGTTGTAAAATAAAAAGTAGAAGTTATATATATATATACTGTATATAAATCTGGAATTCTGGATTTTTAATCTTGCAATTCTGGGTTTATATTTCGCAAATCTGATTAGATTAGGCCCAATAGTACAGGCCTCCATAGTTGATTGATTGCATTAAGAATTGCAAAAAAAAATTAAGTTTTCTAAAATGTTGTTTAAATACGCAAATGAGGCATTATCTAATTAAATATGCACTCATTAGCATGCATTTCCAGAACATAAATTCTCTATAATTTTGTTGTCATATTAGAGTTTAGTAAGATTTTTCCAGAGAGGATTTTGGATTTCTCTTTATCATTCCATAAATCAGAAAATACTGTCAACACACAGAAGAAGAAAAAAACAACACCATGTTTTTAGGAATAAAAATATATTAATCAGTGTGAATGATATATGAACAAACAGTTTGGTAAAACCTTCAGAATATAGATAGGAATAAAACCTTTAAAGATATGGATTGGAATTTAAATCTGCTGTCTAAATCAATGAAATAAACACTTAAATGTGTATTTTGAATTTTTTTTCTTCTACTAGTCTGAAACAAAATCTCAAAACTGACCAGTGCATTAAAACATGTTCTTAAAAATGAGTCTGCAGTATATTGTGCAGTTGTGTTAGTGACGTCAAACACACTCGTTCTCTTTGTGATGTCATCGCATTGGCTGTGTGTTTCAGCACACACACACACTCACACACACTCTCTCACACACACACACACACCCTCAGCTGTTCCAAACGGCCACCCGGACCCTCCTTCTTTGTGTTCCTCTGCGCTGGAGACAAAGACGACACAGAAGCCACGAGAAGCAGAACAAATCAGAGCAGCTCCATCTGTTCAGCAGTGACTGAATGGTTGAATCTTTTTACCCAAACATTACAATCCTGATGTCATTTACTCGCCCTCTTGTCCTTCAAACCCTTATGACTTTCTTTCTTCTGTGGAACACCAAGAAGATGTTTTGAAGAGTGTTCTTTCGGTTCCACACAGTGGAAGATCTTACTAACATCCGTCAAGCACCGTAAAATATCTTATAGCACACAAGTTGTGTCAAATATGTTAAAACCTGAGTTGTGTCAAATCAAGTTTTAACATATACTCATAAATAAAGCTTCCAAAAGCCATCAAAGAACCATTTTTTGGTTTTGTGATGAACCTTTCTGTAGACAGTTCTTCAAAAATCATCTTATTTCTTTTTAGAGAACCCTTTTCCGTTATAATGAACCTTTTGTGCATTGAAAAGTTTCCATGGATGTCAAATGTTCAATTCCAAGAAAGAACCTTTATTTTTAAGAATATGTAGCGCTATATTTGATTTGAACACTGAAGTGCATGACAATAAAATACATTTCAATTAGTTTCTCACACAAAGCATCACGTGACTTCAGATGACTTGAATATGTCGTATGGATGACTGTTCTGATGCTTCATGACGCCGCTGAGGATGTTCCTCAGAAATATGAGTTTGCAGCGACATGAGCAAATGTTCATGTTTTTGCTTTAATATCTGTCAGGTTGTGAGTTTATTCTCAACTTGCATTAGTGCTGATGACAGACAGATATCAGCTGCAGACGAGAGCGCCAGATGAGTGTGTGTTACATCACAGTCAGAGGAAGAGGGACATTGAAGAGAGTTGATATAACATCAGTGACCCCAATCGACTGAAGCGCCGCTCTCTTCCTCTGGAGGACAGACGCAGATCCTCGCATGTTCCTCTTTCATTTCAATCATTCTGTGTGTCTCTCCAAACCTCATCGGGGCTTCATATATGCTGCTGTCACATCAAACTAATTGAGGATAATTTGATGACAATCGACAGATTTCCATGTTGCTGTGATATTAATACGTGTCTAATGCTTCTCTCGCTCTGCAGTGGATGTAGATATTGGTGAGAAGGATGCATTATGCTTCTAGGTCTTGGAAGTCCTTAACATGGTGCAGTGGGATAAAACAACGATGAACGAAGTGAAAATATAACTCATAATCTTAAAACATTTTAAGATCAACATTTAAACAAACTCGTATAACCCCACTTCTTAAGAAACCCACTCTTAACCCAACTCTTTTAGAGAACTACAGACCGGTTTCCCTTGCTCTCAGTTGTTGAAGCCCTAAGACTGGCAAGAGCGGCTTCCAAATCTTCTATACTTATTTTGCTGGATCTGTCTGCTGCTTTTGATACGGTGAACCACCAGATTCTCCTGTCAACCCTATTGGAAAATGGCATCTCAGGAACCGCAAACGACTAAAAACACATCTGTTCCACCTTTATTTGACCCTCTAACTCTAACACTTTATATTCTATTTTAATTCTACTTTATATTTATATTCTTTTTTTTATTAAAAAAAAAACAACAACAAAAAACACTAGCTTTCTATTTTTTCTATTCTATCTACT